CAGCTGATGGCACTGTTTGGGCGGAGGATAGTAGGTATGGTCTAGCTAGAGGAAATACATCATTGGGGTGGCTTTGAGCTTTCAAAGCCTTGCATCATTCCCAGGTCATTCTTTCTCTGCTTCCTGCTTGATGTTTGAGACGTGAGCTATTCCTGCCACTGTGCCTGCCTGCTGCCTTGCCTCCCTGATGTGATGGTGAGACTCTTATTTATCCTCTGGAACCAGAGCTCAAATAACCCCTTCCTGTAATGAATTCCACAGCAATAGAAAACAGACTGACACCTCTAAAGTACAAAGACAAAAAGATGTAACTATAACATGCCAGTCAACTTACTTACATGAACAAAGTAATTATAGCTATAAAGACAAATGAAAGAAACCTGGTATTGAATGAACTTCTGCTTCTGGCCTGAATTAATATTCATTCATAAGGTCAGGCAGTGATAGCACATGACTTTAATCCTAGCACTAGAGAGGCAGAGGCAGGTAGATCTTTGAGTTCAAGACCAGCTTAGTCTACAGAGTGGGTTCCAAATGGCTAAGCTACACAGAGAACCCCTATCCCAAAACCCCCAAATAAATAGTCATTCACAAATTTCAGCTCTACTGGGGAGAACACTAATAGTCATCTTCATTGCCAGAGATCACTATACATAAAATGTTTTCTAGCATAAAACACTGTTACGTATTGCTTCTTCCAGCAAGACTTGGTGGTAAATGTCTACCTCATGCCAGACACCGCTTTAAGCACTGGGGACAGAAGGGATAATGTCTGCCCTTGGGAAGCTTACATTCCAGTGGAAAAGAGGACAAATAAGAGGACAGTGAAGGTGACCACAATAATAGGAAGAAGGAGGGGGGTGCATTTTAGAGAGGATTCTGGGTGAGGGCAAGACTTAAGAGAGAGATGACGTAGAGAGCAGTGAGGATTTAGAGCTAAAAATGATTGCTGAAAAACATAAAGCAAGGGGAAAAAAATCTATGCTACATAAAGATACACATGGAACTGAAAAACAGAATGCTGCTTTATTTTTTAAATTCCCCCAAACTTACCATTTAAATGCCATACTATTTTGGACACTTAACATGCCTTGAATACATTAACTTTTATTGCATTTATTTATTTACTTACTTATCTTAGTGTGTTGAGGGTTTAGTGTTAGTATGCCCAAATGCACATAGAGATGTGAATGTGGGGGGCTGGAGAGATGGCTCAGAGGTTAAGGACACTGACTGCTCTTCCAGAGGTCCTGAGTTCAATTCCAGAAATCACATAGTGGCTCACAACCATCTACAATGAGATATGGTGCCCTCTTCTGACATGGAAGCAGAACACCGTATTGTATATGTAATAAATAAAATCTTTAAAAAAAAAAAAAAGAAATGTGAATGTGGAAGTCAGATCAACTTGTAGGAATTTCCCTCTACAACATGAACTCCAGGGATTGAACTCAGGTTGTCAGCTAGTGCCATTACCCAATGAGCTATTTCACTGGCCCTCTCTATACCTTTTCAGAGACCACTAGAATGTCCAGGCAAGTACTCTTATTCCTGAGCCACAACTCAGCTCAAATGCTATTTATAACAATGGTACTGAATGGCCTGAGAATTCTCAAAGAGAATACAGCTGGGAGCTGTGTGTTAGGGAAGGGGAAAAACCCATTGTGTGTCCATTAGGTGAGACAGTGGTCCACTGAGTTCCATCATAAGCAAGTATCATAGCAGCTGAGTTCTCGGAAGGGGTGAAGAAAAGAGCATGAGTGTTTCCTCAGTCAGAAGACACTGCTGGCAAACAGCTCACACCACGATTCTAGTACAGAGAAGGGAAATGCCATCTGTTTTTAGGGTTATTTGGAAAGAGTCTCCAAGCGGGGGAAAATCTGTTCTTAAAATCTACCCTTTTCTCACAGTTGTTAACCTCACAGTGAAATTACAAATCACTAGGAAGAACCAGGGATGAAGTATGAATGAGACTCTAAATCTCATGTGTGAAACTGTGACACATCATGGTAAATCACATGTAAGGCTTTGCATGATCACCACATATCCTAGATATTAGCAGGATAAACAACCATTCCAAACAACCTTTGCCTCAATAAAAGGCTACAATTCAAACAGAAGACACATCTCTCATATGACTGGGAAATTCCACTCAGATAGAAATGAAGGGAACAATATATGCATTTAAAAAGTTTTCACACAAATAAAATTCAACTACAGTAAGAAAATCAGAAAAGAACAGTGATGGGGAGGGAGGCAGGGGACTCAGGATGCAGCAAGGCTTCCCATCTTAGTGAGGGCTATGGAGGTGATAGCACAACTCAGGTCAGCACATTTACTATCGTTTATTCCTCAGTAAAACTCATTTTTAAAAAGTAAAAAGCTAAGCAGCATGGAGCAATGCACTTTCAATCCCAGTACTCAGGAGGCAGAGGACAGCCAGAACTACATAGCAAGACCCTGACTTAAACAAACAAACAAAACATAAAAGGTAAGACAAGAATGGTGGCTCATGTCTACAATCCTAACTCAAGAGGCTGAGGCAGCGAGTTCTTGAGTTGAGGCCTGCCCAAACTGTATAGTAAGCCCCTGGCCAGTCCAGGCTACATGCAAATTCTGTCTTAAACAATTGCAAAAATAAGGGAAATAAATCCCAGTTATTTTTAAGTTTATGGCCCTGTTAGTCTAAAGTCTCCAACACCATGTTATGAGGGCTGAGGCAAATTCCATGGCCCAAATGTTGGGAGCTGGGCCAGTGTCTGGGTCCTTGATTTGCTCCATTTGACTTGTGCTCACTTACTAGTACTATTCTGTCTCACCATTAAATTACTTTTTTTTTTATTCTCTGGAAATGTATCTATTCCTAAGCACGAAGGGCCATTACAACATAAAATTACAGAAAGCGAGGACAGATGTTGGAAATAGTGTAGTCCTCCATCATCGAAGGCCTAATCTCATGCAGGATTCAGTTGTTACATCCAGTTGTAAGACTATGGCCTGCAAATTAGCCAGCTTTAGATACGTAGGCACAGAGCTACAACTTCCCTATTTGGCATCTCTGCTTCTTTTCAGCATTAAGAGGAGCATGACTGTAATTCCGTTCCCCCCATCACAATTCTAGGCACATTTTTAGAATGGGCAGATCTCTGCCATAGCCATATGGCACATAGCAAAGCTCTCTGTTCTTGATTCTGGTTTTCACAATCAGAGCCTACATTCAGTTACCAGACAGAGAGCATGCTAAACAAACAGTTCAATGTATTCCCAGGCACCAAAATAAAAGTTTTATCACCTGCTGGAATGGTGAATACAGAACCTACAACAGGATAAAGGCGTGGTCATGTTATCTCAGTAATCACATTCAGAGGACTTAGTAGAAATAAACAAACAGGCAAACAAGGAGAAGAGGGGAGAAGCACTCAGAAAACACAACCAAATGACACTAACCAGTCTGGAAAAAAACCAAACTTCTGTGAGTACTTAGTAAACAACATTTTTCATGGTTACTCTGGGAGGAGAGAAGGCATTTGTGTATTCAGTGCCCCTTAACACATAACACAGATGTTTCAGAATGGGCAGGGACTTCACCATCACACCCACTCACAGATACCAGGCATGCAGAGCACCCCACATCTGAATATGGGGTAAGCAACTAATATCACACCCAAGTTACAAGTACGTCCCAGAGCATTTTGTAAAACCTTCACATAGGTTTAAAAGTAGGGTTTTTTTGGTAGCCCAAATGGCCTTGAATTTGTGAACTTCCTGCCTCAGCCTCTTTAGTGCTAAGAGTGCACTACTGCAGCTAGATGTACATGGAATTACAAATTAGCAAAAACATTTTGAAACAGGATACTTATTATAAACATTCTCCTTGCAGAGACAAGCCCATGGTTTATTCATGGACTCATTATCACATATCAAAATTCTGTACCTCTATATTTTAATTAGTTCATGACTCATTATTCTTAGTCCTCACTCCTTTCCCCACCTCTCCCAAATAAGAAAACAGCTCTATTTCCACAACAAAACTCCCCATCTGTTTTCTTCTTTTTCTGTGCGCCTCAGCTAAAGTAACAATATGAACTTTAAGTTGGCAAACGAGGACTAATTGCTCTGGACACCTACTCGCCAGCAAACCTGAAAGGTCAGCTCACTCTAGCCTTAACAAGTGTCACACTATTTTGTCAGCATGACTTGAAGACAAATCACCCCTCTGTCCTTCTCCCTTTCTCTGCACCATAATTCTTTGCTGATAGCGTCATTGGAATAATGTCCTCTTCTGGGCACTTCACCATTTTCACTTCAGACAGCAAGTGCTGAGGGACACAGCTGATGCAGCTCCCACTCCAGTGGTTCCTTACGAATACCTATGGTTTGCTTTTCTTGGACAAACCCTGAGAATTAATTCCCTGACTCTTCCTACCACACCTATTGGGAAATAGCACGAACTGGCTGCATGGTTGGCTCCTAGAGGCCAACACCGGTTGGTGATCAGCCACTCCTATTCCAGTATCTTCACTAAACAAGTTTGACCAAGGGGATATGCTGCTGCCTGGAGACTAGGCACCGACTCAGTCCTAAGGAGGACTGATGGTAATCTGTCTGCTAGAACCTGGGCCCAAGTGGTGTGCATCCATTTAATCCTGATATTGTCCTGTTTGACCCCCACTCTATAGATGGGGGCTGCAGATGAGCAGCTAAGCAATTTCATCCAGGCCAGGCTCTTTTGGAGCATTGTCAGAGCCCACTCATGACTTCAAAGCCCACACTCAACAGTAGGCTGCAAGTAGCATTAGCTCTCTGGTTTTTATGAAGTAATCAGGACACTGAGTGCCTCACATTCACTTGCCATCTGGCTTCAAGACATAGGCCTTATCATAAAGAACGGGAGATCTAACTAAGTTTTTAGATGCTACAGAAAAACAGACTTGGACAGACCTTTACACTTGCTGTTTGAAAATTACATTAACACTGAAGTATGCAGGAGAATTTATTACCTGGGCTTACAGTCAGCTGAAAGCAATGAAGCTTGTTTGGATCAGGAAAGTGTACTTTACATGTACCTGCAAAAGAAACAGCCATTAGGAAGGTCTGGAACGAGCAGCTATCCACATGCTGAGCTTGGACACAGATGTCAGCAGTTGTTGACTTACAAATGGGTCTCTACACTCAACTGTTTTGTTGTTGTTCCTCCCATTCTCATCATACTAAATTCTAAACCAAGGTATTTATTTCAACTTTGAAATGGTCACTGAAGAGTTCTTTTTATTAATTAGAGAATTTTGATATTTACTCTGAAAGAAACTATCCTTCAAACGCATTAACGTCAAGTGGGTAAAGGTTAACTAAACATGGAAAAATCAGAAGAACCAGGTTAAGTGTCTATCCAACTTACTCTGTACCAAAGAGTTTCACAGACATGCATGTCCATCAGAAGTCAAGTTAGAAAGGAGATGCCTCAGAGTTAGCTGCCACCCAGCATTTACCATAACATTGGAGGAAAAAAAAAAAAAAAGAGATCCACCTGCCTCTGCCTCCTGAGTGCAGGATGCTCATCTTTAATTCTAGTACCTGGGTGGCAAAGGCAAGCAGACCTCTATGATTGAAAGGCCAAACAAAGTAGCCTAGCTTACATAGTGACACACTTTCTCAGAAAAGCAAAAAACCAAAAACTTCACACCCTAACTGGTAACTCAGCTTGCTCTGTGGAACGAAGCTTCACTGAACTCAGTAGCAATGTTCTGGGTCTACTGGCTACCAAGAAAGAAGAGCCTCGGTCAGTTCAAGCACACCACTGAGAAGAGACAGCACAGTCAAGGGAAGTTGTCTATTGCACTGTCTGCCTCCTTCACAAAGGATACAGAAGGACTGCTGTCACTTAGGAAACACCTTTCAGATCTGTAAACAATACTCAGGAAATCTCTTCCTATGTTCATGTAACTCAGAAGATACACATATAAATTCCTTGGTGTATCTACTAAGGTTATTGCTTATAAAAGTCCCACTTATTCAGTTCTACATTGATAAAATTTAACAAAAATAGGATGATTCAAATACAGTGAGAAATAACCTTAAAAACCAGCTAGTTATTGTTATTGACTGGGACACATGACAAGAAGGTTCTGATGGGTCCAGTGACTGGTATGAGATCACAGGCTATTCACGAAAACAAGGTTAGCCCCAAAGTAGCAATGAGTTCACACTCTTGTTTCATTTTGCTATTTACTAAGCATGTCATACATAAAACACTGAGATAAAACACACAGAGCAATTTAAGACCAAGATATACTTTCTTTTTTACAGTGGTGGTGGTGGTGGGAGCTCAGTCTACAGGTTAAGAAACAGTTTCAGAAACACACTACCACATTCTTTATTTTTACTTTATTTCTAAATAAAGTAAAAAAAAAAAAAGATGGCTTTTCCAGAGGTCCCAGGTTCAATTCACAGCACCCATACAGCAATTCACAACTGTTTGGAACTCTCACAAAAAAGGTGAGACACCAATGCACATAAAATGAAAATAAATCTTAAAAAAATAAGTTTTTTTTTTAAAAAAGAAAATAAAAAGTCTTAAAGCAGTATATCAAGATTTTCTGCAAAAAAATCACATTCAGAACTATATATACTGAAAACAGGCTTCATTCCCTTATCTTTTCAAAATTATTTTTTTTAGGTTAGCTAACAAAATATTGGGTTTCACCATGGCATCTTCACGCATCCTTAATCATCACACCCAATCATCCCTTCCCCACTAACTTTCCCTCTATTCCCATGCCAAGCTGCTTTTCTATTCCTCGAGTTACTGCCAGTTTCCCTTTCTATGGAAAATATTACCTTTTCCATGTTAGTCTCTTCCTGTCTTATGATCCCCCTTCCTAGTTTTAGAGCTAGCATCCCCATACAGATACATCTACGTATCATTTTACATAGATTCTGCATATGAGAAAAAACAAGGAGGGGCTGGAGAGATGGCTAAGAGGTTAAGAGCATTGGCTGCTCTTCCAGAGGTCCTGAGTTCAATTCCCAGCAACCACATGGTGGCTCACAACCATCTGTACTGAGATCTGGCGCCCTCCTCTGGCGTGCGGGCATACATCGAGGCAGAATGTCATATACATAATGAATAAATCTTTAAAAAAAAACAAATAAGGAGCTTATCTGAGCCACACTTACTTCTCTTACCATAAAGATCTCCAGCTGCATTCCTTTTCCTGCAAACGCCAGGATTTCATTTCTCTTTACAGCTACATAAAATTCTAATGTATGCTGCAGGGCGGTGGTGGTGCACCCCTTTAATCCCAGCACTTGGGAGGCAGAGGCAGGTGGATCTCTGTGAGTTCAAGGCCAGCCTGGTCTACAAGAGCTAGTTCCAGGACAGGCTCCAAAGCCACAGAGAAACCTTGTCTCGAAAAACAAAACCAAAATAAAACAAACAAACAAAACCAACAAAATTCTATTGTGTATATGTGCATTTTCATTACTGAAGAGAGTCCTTTGAGTATACCTAATACTGGTATAACTGGGTTATATCTAAGTTCTACTTACTTTCTTTTTTGGGGGGAGGGAGAATTTCATATTGGCTTCTGTGATCACGCAAGGTTATTCCCATCAAGAATGAATAAGGATCATCTTTTCCTACATCCTCTGTAGGATGTCTTGTCATTTGTTTTCTGGACAACAGCTACTACAACTGGGTTGAGACTACAGCACTAAACTAATTTAATCTGTATTTCTCTGATGGCCAAGGATGATAAACACTTTTTCAAGAACTTACTGATTATTTCTATTTCTACGTTTGAGAACTGTCTAAAATTTGCTAATTCGTTTATTGATTGATCTAGGTTTTTGTTTAATTTTTACAGTTCTTTATATAGCCTGGATATTAATCCCCTGTCTGATGCATAGATGGTAGATTTTTTAAAACATCTAAAATTATTAGTGTGTGTATACATGATGCATGTGGGTGCACATTCATGGCACATATGTGAAGGTCAGCTGACAACTTACTTTATGGAGTTGGTTCTCTCCCTCTACCTTTACTTGAGTTCCAGGGATCTAACTCAAGTCTCCAGACTTGAATGACAAGTGCCTTCACCTTCTGAGCCATTTCATGGGCCCATGACAAAGAATTCTCTATATTCTGTAGACTGTCTCTTCTCAGTGGTGATTGTTTCCTTTGCTATGGAGAAACTTCCTAATTTGATACAACCCCATGTTAACTGTTAGGATTATTTCCTGTGTTACTGGACTTCTTTCCAGAGAATCCTGTCTATGCTACCTTGAAGTGTTTTGTCTTTTAAAATAGAAACAATCTTTAAGATACAAGTGAGAAGAAATGAAGCCTTAGTAAATAAATACTTCAATCATTATTTGAGATTGGTGTTCTCCATTTGTTTTTAATACCTGGCACCCTTTTTCTTTTAACAAGAATTTAAATGTTGAATCTCTGAAATGGATTAGCCTTCCAAAAATACAAAATAACACAAAACATACAAAATAATACAAAAAATACATAGTAAAAGTTTTAAAAATTAATAAAACCACCAAAATCCAATAACAAAGTTTAAAGTTCAAGAAAAATCAAGTTAAAAAAATATATAAAAGGCTTTTCAGGAGGGAGGGGTGAGGCAGGGAGAGGAGCAGAGCAAAATAATGTAGAGCTCAATAAATATCAATAAAAAGAAAAAATATATATAGAAAAAAGGCTTCATATATATAGATAGATTTTGATATATACATGTGTGTGTTTACATATGGAGAAGTTTGCAAAGCTTAAAACGCTAGAATTAGTTTTTGTTATGTGTGAGAGGACCTAAGGAGGTGTGTATTTCCTCCTCTATGCGCTTGTTCATACAGAGCTCTGAGTTCATTCTGCAGTTACTAATTACACTGCCACATAGAAAGCTATTCTTATGGCTCTGTAAATATTTTAGAAAAGGTTTTAAACAGACAGCGAGGAATTAGTTTGTGGTGGCCTGTCTCTTCTTCGGGATGATGAGTGGAAGATTTGTGCTGTGGAAAGCATGGGGAAAGGGCAGGAAGTGAAAGCAGCACGTCAAATAATGTGTGCTATCTGATGTTTAAGCCACAGAATGGGAAACAGACCACATCTTTTCCAAATCCTGCAAGACTCACATCAAACACAAGCTAGTTCTAAGTGGAAACTCTGTGCTCTCTAATGAAGACACACTGTGAGTCACAGACAGTGGAAAGACGGACTGGACTAGAATACAAAAACAAAATCACCATGTGGTACCTTTTCATAGGAATGTCCCAACCACAGTCAGGGAGGCAGGCACACAAGCTTATCACCTGGCTGCAGGGCTCCGCCCTCCTGCCTGTCTATCACGCCCATGCACATTTACTTTCCTAGGCATTTTTTCTTACAGAGAGACAGGGTTTCTTTTTTTGTGTAGCACTGGCTGACCTGAAACTCACTTGCAGTTCAGGTTGGCCCCAAACTCAAGAGATTCACCTGCCTCTGCCTCCCGAATGTGGGAATTAAAGGTGCACTAGTTAAAGCAGATCCTTTTACTTTTCCCTCAGTGGTCAGAAATACTCCCTCCACCCCCACCCCCATGTCTGGGACTGAAACCAAAGCATTACAAATGCTAGGCAAGTATTCTGCTACTGAGCCATTCCCCAGCTTCAAAATCAACCTTTCAATACAATTCCCCGACAACACCTTCAGTTCTGAATGGAAGTAACTCTAAGGTCAACCCACAAAATTCCAAAATGTTTTAGACAGTATTCTACATGTGCTATTCAGGACTAAAAAACCTCTAGTTGTATTTTGAGACAGGGTCCCTCTACATAGCCACAGCTATCCTGAAACTCACTTGTTGACCTGTCTGGCCTTGAAATCACACATCTGCCTGCCTGTCTCCCAAGTGCTATGATTGAAGGCACGTGACACGACACCCAGCTAGAACCTCATTTTATTAGATATTGCAAAAAAAAAAAAAAATTCTTCTTGCCCAAAACTATAATTCATTTCCAACATACACAATATAGGCTTTCTGCTATTCAAAGTGATTAAAACAAATTTTTTCATGTCATCATTATATAGTACCAATTTGACCAGCATGCTATATATACTTACAGGGTAAATTAGCTTCAAGTTCTGCAACCTCTGTAGAAATAAAGAGACTGTGGTTAGTAGTCTTCATATTATTCATTTTAAATTAGCAATTTTTTATAGGATTACAGATGAAAAGTAAGCTAGATTAACTGAAACCTGGTCTAAAATTAATATTTTAAGCCTTTAGTTTTCATAGATACAAGATAACATGCAGAACAGCAATAAATTAAGCAAAAAAAAAGACAACTCACTTTAATAAGAATAAAAATCATGTCACATCTACAAAGTAACTGCCTACAGGTAAGCAGTAACTACAGTGCTTTAAAAAAAATTACTCCTCCCAAGTAACAGATCTACTATTTTCAAACTGTGACTATTTTTCTTTTCAAATGTACCTTCCAGATACCCGATGATGGAAGTTACAGAATAATCCCACACTAGTACAGATTTACGTATAATAAAGGGTTATTTATTTAGGGGAGACTCACAGGTAACTGTCCTAGATCACAGTCCTCTGCACAAATGGGGAAAAGGAACCGAGTCTAGTAGTCACAAGGAATGAGCACATGCTTTACAGCTGCATTTATAGTATAAGAGACCACACCCAAGTGAGCTGGCATCTTAAAGGCTATTGGCCAAAGGAATTCCCACAGCACCTCCCCGTTTTGTTTAAATAAGAGAGTTACAAATGCAATATAAAACTATGTACACTAGGAACAGATATCAAGTATAAAGTTAGAATTACAACCAGAATAAACAATATTAAGCAAGGAACATATCCTAATTTTTTAACAAACATTCTGTTCTAAGTAGTCTAAATCTTGTATTGGAAATGACGTGGCTAAATCATAAGAGGATAGTAACTACAACTATCTAATCTTCAACCCCATCAAAGGCCTGAGAAGGAACATTACTTGAGTAGGCAGAAAATGCAATTGAGCAGCTTCCAAAATGTGTAGTAAATGACTGCAAAATCACCCAAAGTCTCATTTGCAATGTTTGGAAATGGCCTTGAGTAATTAACAGACCATTTTTAGAGGCAGAAAAATACTCAGAACTGTCTTACCCTTTCTTGGCTAGGCTTGGCAGTCTTTTTCCTTGTATCCTGCTGGGTCCAGTCTGGACATAGTGTACTTTGTCAGTGGTCAAGGCATGGGCAGTTCCTTGCCCAAAGGCCAGTTGTGCCAAAAAGAAAACAAACTCCAAGTGGAATGTCTTTGGTGCTCAGTTCTCTCTAGGGAATAGACTGGTGCTGCCAGGAATAATTGTGTCTCACATCAACAGAATCCTAAGTTATTTAAATGCATGTTCCACAGATCTTTGAAGTGGTTGAAGGTTACCTACCTATCTATGAATACAATCTCTATGTATCTAAAGGACCAAATTAGTCTGACTAAAGGTATAACAAACATGAATGACTATTGACCTATAATACTTAATACCTATATAACTTAAAGATTAAGACTTCATATCAGAATATTAAACAATCTTTAAATAATTGTGCAGTAAATGAGGACAATAACCTCAAAATGTAAACAATGTATAAATATTTTGATCAGAGGTAGAAATATATGTAGCAATATGATAAATACAACCTAAAAATTGTATCAATATAAAAAATGTCTTAAACAGAGGTAGAAACATGCATGCATAAAATCTAACAAAATAACTATGCATATCTGTACAAACATTGTAAACAGAAATAGGAGCATATTCAATATAACAAGTATAATTTGAACTTGTACCATCCCATTCAGTTTTATTTCTTTTTTGAGATCTCTGGGCCTACAAAATTTCCACCCCAATCCCCAACCCTATATACTATAATAAACCCCTAAATGGTGTCCTTAACCATGAGGACAAACTTTATTGGGACAGACTATATCTTCTAGAATTGCTTCTTGCTGTTATGGGGATGTTTTTTTCTATGGGATCCTGTATAAGTAAATGATGGTTAAGTTTTAAGATTGCTGTTTTGTATAACTGCAAATGGTCTCTGAGTAGTCAATAGTGTTATTTGTTTTGAAGTTCTTATTTGGATTTCTGGCCAGAACATTGTAAAAAAGTTCACCATTTCTGCAGCTGGTACCCAAAGACCAGTCTCATGGTAGCGCTATCAGCATCATGATGACATATCAACAAGGTGAAGTCATTGTTGTGGGGCCCCATCTTCTTCCTGGAAGCTTCAAAGATTACTGCAGGAAAATCTACTGTTCATTGCTAAAAATTTAAGCATTATTCATATAGACATATATTCAACAAAAGATACAAAATAGACAAAAAGGGCATGGAGAAAAATATTTCCTTTCAATCTATTTTCTTTCTGTCCCATACCAGATGGCTCCTGACTTGAGATGGAAATTCTGAATTTTTTTTTTAACATGCTTGGAGAAGGATAGAGCCATCATCCAACTCTAAAGCAAGCTCTTTAGATGTATCTAAAGCTTCTGTAGAGATGTATACGTGTCCAGATAATCAAATTTTACCATGCAGATAATACAGCATAGTAAGTCAGATTTCTCTTTGCTTATTGATTCTTTCTGGATAGCTATCTTTTCATCTTTAGGCACCTAGATGTCGAAGGTCTCTCAACTCTTTGAAGAAATTTCCCAGCAAACACAAGAACAGAACCCTGCTCTAATCCTTATGAGGTTTTATTACCACCTGTATGATTGTCACCTCTGGTTCTGGGTGGCTGGGACAAACAAGCTGTTCTTTGCAACAATTTGGCACAAATGTGGTGGACATGTAAAACCTGAGAGGGCTTAAAAGGAATTCTAGACACAAAAATCAAAGTTTGACTACATTTCTTTTCCAGAGCTTGCTGCAGCTCCATTAAGAGAGGTTTTCGTGATTTAGCCATAACACCAAAAAAAAAAAAAAAAAGCCATGTAGTTTTAAAACGTGACTTCCTGGGCCATGTTGCCAGCGCAAACTCTGGCTATGGAGCCTTTGAAAAGCATTTGTGGGCTCGGGTGTTCGTGTACCCACTCAGGGTCAGGAGAAAATTGGCTGAGACCATGCTTGTGGCTTGGTGCTCTATGCCTGGGTAGGTGGCAGGATCAGGTCTACTAGGCTTGCACTGGCAGGGGAGCACAGTGGATTCCTGCTTCCATACACAGAGATGTTTCCAGGCTGCACAGTGATCTGCATAGCAGATTTCGCCGTTACTCAGATAAAAGTGTGCTGCATGCTCCCTCTCAGAGTGCTGAGTGCGGCTCCTACCTGGCCGTAATGGTAGGTACCCCCACCATTTTAAAACTGGCGAGAGGCGGAGCTAGCAACCAGAGCTGCAGCAACCAAGCTGCTTATCATTTTAAAAGCTCTTCAAGACAGTAGAGAATTACAGAAAATGCAATAAGGACAGATTCAGACATAAAAGAACTCTACATGGGTCAGTGCTGGATAAATGTACATAGGCTTGGGAACGAGAAGAAAAAGAGTACAGACAAGGGGGCTGGAGAGATGGCTCAGAGGGTAAGAGCACTGGCTGCTCTTCCAGAAGTCCCGAGTTCAATTCCCAGCAACCACATGGTGGCTCACAACCACCTGTAATGAGACCTTGTGCTTTCCTTGCCAGCAGTACATTGTATGTTTAATAAATAAATCTTTAAAAAAAAAAAAAGAGTACAGACAGTTGGAAAAGTAAATCATTAAAAAAAAAGTCTTTAAAGATACAGAGTACAGTCAGATTATAAGGAGTAAAGAAAAATAAGCCACATAAAGATGGACTATACACAGAGAGTCTGGATTGTGTATATTATAATGTTTTCCTTGAAATTTTTGACTGTGAAGCAGCTAAGTACAGAGAGACATTTCATTGTATGGGCTACTAAGCTAAAGCAGCATATACATTATAAAGGGATCATGACTTCCAAATTTGGGTCTCAGGATATGTTGCTTTGGAAAAGATGTTCTTCACAGGTTCTCATCTTCTGTGGAAACAAGAGGATTGCCTCCAGATCAATATGGTTTCAATGAACAAGACCCCCTGAAAGGTTGCTGTGAACACCCCCACAAAGAAAATATGTTGCCCAACTGCTGACTGAGATGAACCTAGCATACAGGATACACCATGAAAGACCTGATTAACAGCATCCCCAAAGAGCAGGAAATAGTATGGACAGAACTATGCCCATATTCCCAAATATTGTTTATAATTGTTTACATTTAACAGGGGATAAGCTATCGAGATTTGAATTAGTATGAATCTTGTTTTATTGATACAAATTTAAGGTCAATCTTGTGATATATATTTATATTTCTGCTCTTGATTAAGGTATTGTGACTATAGTTCATTTAAAAATGTAGTGTATAATTAAGAAATATAAGTTAGTAGATAAACATCTATAATAGTCAAGCTTGTAGTCATGTTAGTTAGATTTTTCTAGATATATAATTCAATTAGATAAATATTCTTCAAATCTTTCAGATCCCTTCAGAATATGGCTTCTAAATGTTTTAATAACTTAGGACTTTTCATGACAATGAGACACGTCTGTTCCTGGCAGCACCAATTACTTCTTGAGGAGGACGGGCATAGGAGAGGCTCCTTAGCCATTTGGGCAAGAAACTGCTCTTGCCTGGACTGCTTCACTGGACATGTATGACTTGCAAAGAAATGACTGCTGAACTTGCCTAAAGGTGAGATGGTCCTTTGGGGTTCCTGCTTCATGATAAGAGTCTGCAAGACATTCTGCAGGACACAAAAGAAAGTGACCGAATTGTCTTTGAAACTTCCTGCTTCATGGAAAAGTCTGCTGGATACGATGGGCCTGTAGGCTGAAGATAGATGCCCCAACGGTACAGAAGAACTTTGGGTGACTGTCCAGATGGCGAGATATCTCTATCATTTCTAGAGTTTTGGAAGTTGCTTACAATGCACTTAGTGTTTACTTAGGTAGTATTTCTTTCTTCAGTCTTTGATGGAGTTAAAGAATAGTTATAGTTTTCCTTAGTTATGATAAAAGATAAAGTAAATAAAAATATTGTAACTGTAATTCTTGCTTGATACCTGTTTTGCTATATGTAATATTGCTATATTAAAGTTA